CCCCTGACAGCAAGCACCTTGGGGTGGGGTTGTCGGATAAAATACAGAACTCCCAGGTCAATCTGAATTTCAGATAAACAACAAATAAATTTCAGTACAAGAGTGTCTCATACAATATTTGGGACATGCTGGTGCCAAATATTGCATAGGACATTATATTAGCCCATTCTCACATTGCTATAAAGAACTACCTGAGGCCGGGTGCAGTGGCTCGCACCTGTAATCCCAGCACTTTGGGAGGCCAAGGCGGGCGGACCACCTGAGGTCAGGATTTCGAGACCAGCCTTACCAATATAATGAAACCCCATCTCTACTAAAAATACAAAAATTAGCCAGGCATGGTGGCAGATACCTGTAATCCCAGCTACTGGAGAGGCTGAGACAGAAGGAAGATGGTACCATTGCATTCCAGCCTGATCAACAAGAGCTAAACTCCATCTCAAAAAAAAAAAAAAGAACTACTTGAGACTGGGTAATTTATTTTTTTTTTTTTTAATTTTTATTATTTTTTTTTGAGACCGAGTCTCACTCTGTCGCCCAGGCTGGAGTGCAGCGGCCGGATCTCAGCTCACTGCAAGCTCTGCCTCCCGGGTTCACGCCGTTCTCCTGCCTCAGCCTCCTGAGTAGCTGGGACTACAGGCGCCCACCACCACGCCCAGCTAGTTTTTTGTATTTTTTTTTTAGTAGAGACGGGGTTTCACCGTGTTAGCTAGGATGGTCTCCATCTCCTGACATCGTGATCCACCCGTCTTGGCCTCCCAAAGTGGTGGGATTACAGGCTTGAGCCACCGCGTCCGGCCAAGACTGGGTAATTTATAAAGAAAAGAGGTTTAATTGACTCATGGTTCTGCAGGCTATACAAGAAGCACGGCTGGGGAGGACTCAGGAAACTTACAGTCATGTTGGAGCAGGAGGAAGAGAGCAAAGGGGAGGTGCTACCCACTTTTAAACAACCAGATCTCCTGAGAACTCACTATCAGGAGAGCAGCAAAGGGGAAATCACATCCATCATCCAGTCACCTCCCACCAGGCCAGTCCTCCAAGGCTGCGGATTACAATTTGACATGAAATTTGAGTAAGAACACAAATCCAAACCGTATCAGACATACTTATCCTAAATCTGTATTCATTGTTTATCTGAAATTCAAATTTACCTCCGTGCCCTGTATCTTTATTTACTAAAGCTACAACCCACTTGGGTGACGCTGTGCCCTTGCTTACCTGGTACCACCACTGCCAATCCTGTGCCCAGCACATAGCAGGCTTTCAATTAATGTTGAATGGATGTGGGGTGGGTGGACGGGGGATAGATGGATGGTGGGTGAATGGGTGGGTGGATGGATGGTGGGTGGATGGGTGGATGGATGAACAGATGGATGGATTGGGTGGGTGGATGTGTGGGTAGGTGGTTAGATGGACAGATGGTGGTGGGTGAATGGATGAATAGATGGATGGATGGACAGATGGATAATGGGGGTGGGTGGGTTGGTAGGTGAATAGATGATGGATGGCTGGATTGGTGTATGGGTGAGCAGATGGATGAGTGGATGGATGGATGGATGGATGGATGGATGGATGGATGGATGTAGCAGGTTGGCTGGGTGGCTGGAAGAGTAGACAGATTGGTGGATAGTTGGGTGGATGCCTGGATGGGTAGGTGAATGAATGGGATTTGGACTATGTAAGAGGTTTTAACACTAAGCAGCCTTACGTGCCCCATGACAGGGCCAGGGTGGGAGTAAATGAAGTGCCAGCTGATGGGAAAACTCCCAGCTCTGACACCTCTTATCTCCTCTGGGACTCTCCTGCTCAGATTCTGAATCTGTAAAATGGGAATGTTTGGTTATGCTCCAGCAAGAGGAAGCCCCATATGCTGCCACACAAGTTATATGTCCCTGACCTGGGTGCCTTGCTAGGGATGGTGGGGGGTGACTTGCCTGCAGACTTCAAAGCCCTGCCTGCCAGGATCTTTGACTTCCCAGCGCCAATCAGACATCACACAAAGGTGACCTCTCCACTCCCAGCACCAAGGAGTTGCCTTTGGACCCTGACCATCCTGATGACCAGGCCAGGCTGGCCAGGGACTCCCCAGCAGCCCTTCGGAGGCCTCTACAGCCCTGTGTCCAGTCTGACGCAAGTGTGGCAAGTGGTCATGAGCACCGTGCCCTTCCAGCAAGGCCACCTCTGCCTGTGGGCAAGGGCCTCAGGTAGGCAGGTCCGAAGCACCTGCAGACCCTGCACTTAGAAGCTACCACCCCGCTTTTTGAACCTTGTGTTTTAGAAAGGGTCTTCCATTCGTAGCATCTCCCTCTCCCCAGTCCTCCTCCCAGAGACTGTTTAAGAGTGGGCCTGGGAGCCCCAATGTTCCCAGGGTTATTCCTAGGGGTAGACTTCTCATAAACAATGTTGTCCCTCCTCCCAGGGCCCCAGGGCAAGGAGCAGCCAGCCTGGACCTGCAGCCATTGTGGCCCCAGCCCGGGGGAAGGGACAGCACAATCAGGGTGAAGTGGAGTCAGAGGCGGGTGTTGTGGGGGGGTGCGGGGACAGCTGTCCTGGCCTGGCCACCTTCCCTGCCTCCTGTGACATCAGCCCATCAATTCCCTTCCTCTTTTGCCCTCACTGGGTCATGTCTCTGGCCCTTATAGCCACAAGGTTCCTGACTCCTGTGTCCTTATGAAGAGCCACACACAGCAGCCGGGGGACTGCCCCGCCAGAACCGGCCCAGGATTCCTGCTGGATTCCGTGTGTCAGGACCACCCATTCTAGTAGAAGAGTGGAAAGCCCAGAGAGGCAAATCACATGCCTAGGAAGCAAAGAGGGATCCCTGGCCCAGGGCCGCCTGCAGGGTGAGAGGGCTGAGGCTGGGGTCTGCTGTTACTAGAGCTGAAACCTACGGACCTACCCAGCTCCCGTTTTTGCCACTGGGGAGACCCACAGGGAGGGCCTGGGGGGACCACCAGCCTTGGGTGTTGGTTGCCACATCTGCACGTGACAGGGGAGAAACATGTCATTCCAGGAGGACAGGAGGGCAGAGCAGCTAAGGGGGGCTCCCCAGACATAGGGGCATCCCGGGTATCCACCCCTGTCCTTTGGAGGCAAGAGGAGGGGCCGCACCCCTGGGTTTGACAGGCAGCAGCCACCTTCCAGAGGGAGAGCTGGCGGGGCCTTACCACACCCCCTTCAGAGTAGCCCCCTCCCCCCACCGCTGCCCTGGACTCTGCGGCCAGCAGGCTGGAGGTTCCTAACGCTATGGGGGACAGAAGGCTGTGGCTGGCTGAGGACTTTGTGTCAAGTTCCCACTGCCTCTGGGGACTGGGGACAGCCAGGCCACACGCGGGGGCAGTGGGACTTAGCACCTGAGCCTGCTGAGCTCCGGAGAGCCCTGGAGGTTCTTGGTTCCCGGAGGTGGGGCAGGGAGGAGGGAGTCCCTGGTGTGGCCTGGTTCTGCTAGGCGGATCACTGAACACCCCCTTCCCTGATGAAGAGGCGAGAGCTGCTTTGGGAAGAACCACCTGCCCTCACCCTCACCCCATTCGGTCTGGGACAGGCAGGGCGCTGGCCTGCCGGATGCCCCCACCCCTGTGCCTGCAGCCCTGCTCTGCACCCGGCTCCCTTACTCCACCTCTTTCCACCTCCTCCCCTTCCTCCTCCTCCCAAGGAGGAGGCAGATGGTGGTGGAAACTCTGCTTCCTTCATTTTCCGGAGCGTGACTCAGCACCGCAGCTGCCGCCTCGGCCCCCACACAGCAGCACGAAGCCTGCCCTCCCCTACAGTGGAGCCCAGGGGCTCCCCAGAGCACCCCTCCTGCAATCCATCTGGAGAACGCAGGGCTGCGGGCTGCCGAGCCACCTTCCCCGGCCCCCAGCCCAGCGGACCCCTCATAGGCAGCTAATTTCCCACACGACGGCAGAGGGCGGAGTGCAGGCAGGTGGGCGGGGCTGCAGTTCCAGATCTCAGGGACACACAGAGGCGACCACAGGGCTTCTTAGCTTCTGGGTGGCCACCCTAACCAGGACACTGGGCTGAGCGAAGGGGAGGGGAAGGCCTAGGTGGGACCCCAAGAAAGGACCCATCAGAAAACACAAGGAGGTAGGAAAATAAGAGAAATTTCCAGAAGCAAGAGGCTTGGACCATGTAGAATGCCACAGAGCCAGGCCTCAACCCACCGGGGAATCTCTGAGGACACTGACAGCAGCCCACCAACATGGCCCCAGGTCCTGCTCTGAGCTCCGGTCGGCCCTCCTCCTCCCTCTATCAGAGCCTCCCCTGGGAGCCCCAGATATCCTCTCAGCTCCTTCTCTCGGACAAAGGAACTCTCCCTGCTGGGAGCCCCTGGTGGCTCCTCCCACTCCCCCGACTCGGCTCCCTCTCTCTGCCTCGCTCCCTTTGCGGTAGGCTTGGCCCAGGAGAGTCCTGGCACCCCCAGCTGCTCTGTAAGCCCCTGGGGGTGACCGACGGGGGTCGGCTCCCCACTCTTGCCTGGCCGTAATCCCGGAGCTGTGCCTCGGGATGTGGGCACACAATTGTGCACACGCACATCATCTCAGCAACTGGGGTCTCCTGACAGTCCCCTTCCCAACCCCCAAAATAAGACCTGCCAGCGCCCCCACCCCTTCTTCTCCCTTCTATCCCCCTCCCCACAGCCCTAGGTACAGCTGCAGAAACTGAGGCTCAAAGGGGTCAAGTCCCTTCACTCTACATGGCAGAGCTTGGGTGGTCAGAGACCCCAGACCCCAGTTGAAGGCTCCTGCCCTGACATGGGAAGCTCCTCCTGTGGAGCCTGAGCAGGTGCCCAGGACCAGACGGGCCAGCCCAGGTGGGAGGCTTCCTGCCAGGAGGCCCTAAGGGTGACCTGGCCAGGGACACCAGTGCTCACAGGTCCGGTTGGTCCCAGCCCCAGTTCACCCTCTGTTTGCTAGCAGTGGCCCCTCTACTCTCCCCCAGGACTCCAGACAGCTCTGCACAGAGGCCTCATCCCCACCCAGCTGGGCAGACTCTACCTTGCCACTGGGTTGCTTCCCAGTCTCCAGCCACTCCCCTCTTGCAGCTTCAGTTTCTGCATCTACAGGTTGGGAGTAATGAGATTCCCCAGCCAAGGGCTGGGCATCCTGGGGGAGAAGGGGAAGGAAATGCCAGGAGCTGGGTGGAGCCAGGTCAGGGAGGCATGGGCCCAGCCCTAGCCCCAGCAGCCACTCTGTGGGCCCAAGCCAGCCCCGGGCCCTGGGCTTGTCCATCTGTAAGCAGGGTGATGGCACTGCTGGGCAAAGTGGCTGAGGGTGGGCCCAGCCCAGCTGCCCTCCCTAGGTGCCCATCAGGCCCAGCACTGGGGCAGGGCACCCGGCCCACACCACATGGATGGGGAAAAACCTCCAGCTGGGCTGCCCCGACAGGGACGGAGGCAAACAGGGCTCCCAGGATTCCAGGGCCAGCACAGCTCTGTGGCTCCCATAGTATCAACTCCAGGCCCCAAAAAGGACTGCAGGGGACCAGGCTGCTCCTGGGAGACCCCAGATGTCCTGGCTCTTCTCTAGGGGATCTTGGGCTGAAGAGAGGACTGAGGCCCCAGAGGAAGGCAACACAGGGTCAAGACGGGCTCCTGAGGGTCCCCAGTCATTTGTAAATTACCTCTGCCCTCTGCAAAGAGTGAATGCTGATTCCCCGGCCTCTACCCAAATATATGCACTCTCTCAGGTTCACGCTTACGCATCCCCTTACCATTCGGCAGATCCCACCAGCTCTGCCCCAGCTCACCCTCTCCGCCTGGCCGTACCATCCTCTGCCGCTCACCAAGGGGGACCCTCCAATCCACTCCTGTGAATCAGGGTCCCCAAGCTGCACTCAAGGCCTCTGTCACCTTTCCTTGCTTGTAGAACAAACCCACCCTCCTTCTTCTGACTCTCACTCCTCCCACCTCAGTGTGTGCAGAGGAGCCTTCCCTGCACACAGCTGAAGCGGCCCCGTGGCCCCTGCCCTGGACTTTGGCCAGGCCATTGACCAGGCTGCTGCCTCCCGCCCATGCCTTGGCATCCGGGTCATTTTTATTGATGGTAGTTTGGCCCGGCTTGCAGGCTTCACACACACCTCCCATCCAGCAGCCCTAGGAGGTGGGACACTTATCACCACCCCATCTCAGCAGACAGCACTGTAGCAGGACGAGCCACAGACCAAACTCCTCAGACACCGAGTTAAAGAAGGAAGGGGTTTATTCGGCCGGGGGCATCGGCAAGACTTGTCTCAAGAGCCGAGCTCCCCGAGTGAGCAATTCCTGTCCCTTTTAAGGGCTCACAACTCTAAAGGGCTGCGTGTGAGGGGGTCGTGATTGATTGAGCAAGCAGGGGGTATGTGACTGGGGGCTGCATGCACTGGTAATTAGATCAGAACAAAACAAGATAGGGATGTTCACAGTGCATTTCTATACAATGTCTGGAATCTATAGACAACAGAACCAATTAGGCCAGGGATCCATCTTTAACTACCAGGCCCAGGGTGCAGCGCTGGGCTGTCTGCCTGTGGGTTTCATTTCTGCCTTTTAGTTTTTACTTCTTCTTTCTTTGGAGGCAGAAATTGGGCATAAGGCGATACGAGGGATGGCCTTCTCCCTTAGCACAAGCAGCAGAGCCAGGGCCCAGACCGGCCCAGCCACAGCACCCTCCCGCTGGACCACAGGACTATGCTGTTCACAGGGCCACTCCTGGCCTCTGAGGAGTCCCTCCAGGTAGGCCAGGCCAGGCCAGGCCTGTGCTCTGGAATGCAGCCCACGCAGGGCTCCCTGCTGCTCAGGGCAGGGCGGTGGTCCAACAGCTCCCACCCCCAGGGCCTATGCATCCGCAACGCCCAACCTGCCCAGAACCCCCCAGGCCCAGCAACCACCACTGGGAGGTTGGCAATGACTCAGGCCTTGAGTCAGCAGCATCAGATGAGGACGCAGCCAGCCCTCTGCCAGCATAAGGGAGCCCCAGAAAGCCCCGAGCTCTGCTAGCTGGGCTTGCGGGGACCCCTGGCTGGAAACGAATCAGGTTCATCAGCGCCCAGGAGCCCAGGAGCCACCTCCCAGGGAAAATTCACGCGCACATGCACACACGCACACACACACGCGTGCACACAGAGGAGGCCTGACATCAGGGTGGGTGGGGCTGACTAACACCAACCCAGAGAAGAGAAACCAGAGATGGTGGGGCGCAGTGGGCAGTGAGGTGGGGTCTCAGCTGGAGGGGCTCACTCAGACTGTGGAGCACCCATGTGCCTCCTAAACAGAAACTCCACACAGGCCAAGGAAACAGCTACCAGCTGACTCACTCTCCCAGCAAACACCAGCTCCTCCCCGAGCCAGGCCCTGGAAGAGAAGTCGACATCACGAGCTACCATCTGGGGGGTGGCACCAGGCTGCGAAGGATCCACAGACTGGCACATGCAGGAGGAAATGGGACAGGGGAGGGGTAAGGCCCCCAACAAGCAGGAGCAGGGAAGGGTCCTCCCAGCGCCCCACTGTAACGGGGCCTCGTCAATGTCCTGTGCTCACTGAATAAAGCACTGCCAATGAAAGGTGAAAGAGGAACAAGAACATTCTCCTGGACGCCACCCACAGAAAACCGTGTGCAGGCTTGGCCCTCACCTTGGGGACCTTGGACACAGAACTGGTTGTGTCACATCTGGAGGCCTGATGCAGAAGGCACTCGGCTAAGCCCTAGTTACTGGCACTTGGGCACCTGCGCCCCCTCTCAGCAAACTCCATGTCTCATGAAATTAGGACTGGATTTCCACTTTATTTTGAAAATACGGCCAAGGTAAGAGATCAGGAACGACAAGGCCAAGCTGGGGTAGCCAAGAAAGCGGAGGAGACACGGGGGCGGAGGAGTGGCTGCAAGCGTCTGAGTGCAGGAGGCACAGACACCGAAGGCCCCGGACCCCGGAGGGCAGCATGCTGGTGCGGAGCAGGGACAGCCTGGGGTTCACTCTAAGGCACCCCTGGAGAGGCAGGGTGGGTGGGGCAAGTGAGGATGGGGGTTGGAGCCCATGACATCCCCTAGGTTGCTCAGCATGGCTGATGCCTGGCCACACTGGGCCGGGAACTCAAAGTCTAACTGGGGAGCCAGGCAGGGAGCCAGACAGGAAACCAGATGCATGCAAGTGGAGATTCCAGGCTGAGGCGCTGTGGGAAGGAGGGAAGCTGTCACTCTCCCAAGGCGGAAAGTGGGAGGGGCTGGGAGTCTCCAGGGAGGGCAGGAGGGCCTGGAGGAGTTCCCTGGGGTGGGGGTCCCAGAAGAGCCAGCAGCCTGTGCAGCGGCATGGGAAAGATCCCAGTGCCTGGCGAGGAATTGGCACAGCCTGTGTATGTGGAGTCAGATGGGGGTTTGGGGTTTGGGGTTCTTTTTAACCCGTAAGTCTCCCCATTATTCTACAGGAGAAAGGGAATGCATGCTGGGCGCTCAGGAAGATTCGGACAGGAGGCAGCAGTGTGGGGAGGGACAGGGAGGGCCTGGCGGCTGGGTCAGAGCCTTGCCCAGGGGCTTTAGGAGGGAAGCGCTGGCTTTCCCACCTCCCCTCTGGAATCTGTCCCCTGTCATCCTGGAAGAGCTCAGGAGCAAATGGATTCCATTCCATTAAAAAAGCATGGTGCCTGGGGCTAAGCAAAGCTGAGACTGGCAGATAAGGTGCCCCAGATGAGCAGTGGGGCGCGGAGCAGGGCCAGGAGGCAGGAGGGCGGCAGGGAGCAGGGACAGTCATCTGGCCTTCGGGATGGGCAGCACCCCTGGAGGAACGGGGAAGCCAGAGCGGGATGCCTGGCCTGCAGGCCAGGTGAGGGGAGAACGCAGGCCAGAATCCAGCCATAACCTAGCAGCAGGTCCCATCGAGGTGAGAAGAAAGTCTGATCTACTCCCAAGCTAGCAGTGAAACGCGGAGGCTCTGTAAGAACTGGGGAATTATTTACCCTAACTCAGGAATGCTCACTGTGAAACCAAGCCCTCACCTAGGGGAAGGGCCACCCCAGCAGTGGCCACTCCTAAAATCCTCACCTCCCTCCCCGACAAGTCTAGCCTCCAGGATGGAAAAGTCAGCCAACCCTAGGATTATTGTGTCTGGGTTGAACTGAGGAGTCATCTGTGCGTTCAGCCTGTGCTAGTGGCTGGGGCCTCCACAATGTTGGGTGTGCCTGGGATAACTCAGAGTAACGCGGTCAGACGGCACTCAGGGCTGGGCTGGAAGGGTACTGCCCTTCCCTGGGCCTCAGCGTGCTCTGTAAAGTGGGGTCCCCGTGCCCACCGCACACGGCAGTGCGGATGGAAGGAGGCCCGGCGTGCTGAGCGCTGGCACTTGCAGCTGGCACCTGGACATGTAGGAACGTGCTTCCGTGGTTATTATCGTTGCTGTTACAGATCCGTCCACGTGTGGCTGACTCAGAGCTGTGACATTAAGGGAAAATAAAGGAAATGGTTGAGCTGCCTTTTCAGACAACATTGGAATTTTTGAAGAACTCGAGAATCAGTATACTGAAAGGTTTGCGCCGTGAAGTCGCTGCTTGTGAAGCCTGTGTGCATCCAAAGTGCTGACAAGGACAATGGAAGACACTTCATTCATAAGCTCCTTTAAAAGGCCAGAGAGCCCCCTCGAAAGGGACTGGTAGATGAATAAGACTGGTAAAATAAACCCAAACATTTGGGGGGGAAAAGGTGATTTTATTGTTTTTTATTTTACTTTATTTTATTTTTTGAGACAGGGTATCGCTCTGTCACCCAGGCTGGAGTGCAGTGGCATGATCTTGGCTCACTGCAGCTCCGGCTTCCCAGGTTCAAGCGATCTTCGTGCCTCAGCCTCCCAAGTAGCTAGGACTACAGACACACGCCATGAAGCCTGGCTAATTTTCATATTTTTTTATAGAGACAGGGTTTCCCCATGTTGGCCAGGCTGGTCTTGAACCCCTGGGCTCAAGCGGTCCACCCTCCTCGGCCTCCCAAAGTGCTGGGATTACAGGAGTGAGCCACTGTGCCTGGCAAAAATGAGATTTTAAATGTGCTACTTTAATAAACTGAGTATTAATGTTGAAAACCCAAGGAGCAGCAAAGGTCCTCAAAGACCTGGGGGAGGGGTCTGCGGGTGGCTGCAATGGGGGAGGGAACAGGCGGAGGGGAGGAGGGGCCCTGGGGAGGCAGTACAAACTGGTTTACAGACTGACCCTCCGTGGCTTCTCGGGGACCCATCCAGAATAAATCCCAAGCATGCATCCTCCTACGTGCCCCAGCCTGGGGCTGCCACTCACCTCAGGCAGTGCCTCCCACCGTCCACTCCAAGAGCCTGGCTTCCCTTGGTGCCTGGGGCCCCCACCAGGGGTGTCAAAGCAGAAGGCTGGCATCAGTGACCAGCACACCTGAAGGCCCTGGAGCCTTGGGACAGGGAGGGAGGTGTTCAGGGAGAGATGAGAGGGTAGAGGGGAGAGTGAAGGAGGAGGGAGAAGGCCCGCAGGGGAGGACAGAGAGTCACAGCCCACAGCTGTGTCTTCATTCCAGTCATCATTCCATTCATAAATACTTCTGAAACCTGCCCCCACTCCCCGCCACACACACACACACACACACACACACACAGACACGCACACACGCATTACCTCTGGAGACTTTGGAGACCTACAAAGTCTTGGCACTATGTCTCTTCCAAACGTAGTCCAGTAGCCAAAAATCACCTGCAAGTTATTCTAGACTTTATTTCCTTCCCTCCAAGATCATCAGGCAGGATCCAGTTCATCAGCCTACAGGCCCTGCCCTGAGCCCTCTCCCCCTCTCCCCTTCTCTGCTGCCCCATTCCTGCCTCTTCTGAGTCTGCAGGGTTCAAGGCCAGGAGCAGAGCAAGTCAGAACACAGCTACACGCAGGCACGCAGACTATGGGCACTTCCCTGCTCTCAAAGGAGCACCTCCAGGGAGCTCATCTGGTGCTCTCTCCAGCCCCTCAAATTCCCAACAGCAGGGTTGCAAGGCCCAATATCTTTTCACCTCGTTAGCTGGAGAACCGCTTCTTTAAGCAAAAGATGGCACGGACCCTCAACATAAGACAGTTAAAGCTGAGCAACTCTCCCCATCATGCAAGTAACCTGCATGCCGCCACGGGGAACAGCACGCATCCTACCTGGACTCCCACCGGACAACTGAGGCAACCGAGAAGGAGGCTGGGGAGGGGAGGGACAGCTTGAGGGCTCACTGGAGGTCAGCAGGGAGGTGGACTGCATCTCCCAACGGCCAGCACTGGCTCAGCCTGCTCAGTGAGGTGCCTGAAGGAGGCCCACCAGCTCTGCCAGCACCCTGCCTCTGCACCTCAGTTTTCAGCGGATACGTTTGTGCAATGAAATACTTCACAGAAATCAAGAAACATGAGTGAACAATGGACACCACCGCACGGATGAGTCTCGGAGAGTGTGGAGCAAAAGAAGCCAGACGCAAAGGTTGACATTTACACGCAGTGCTAGAACGATGAATCTATGATGGCAGAGATGAGAAAAGCAGTTAGCTTCGGCAGGTGCCCATGGAGGAGGCTATGCAGTGGAACTTTCTGGGCCCTGGAGGTGTTGCATAGTTAGATATGGGTGGTGGTAGTTACGTGGGTTTCTTTGAATGTTAAAACTCTTGGTGTGGTAGACCCACGCTCTGGGCACCTCACACATGCCATGCAGCAGCTCAGTCTGTGACAGCCAGTCCTGTGTTCCAGGGTGTGGCTGCAAGCACTGACTCAGTGAATGCCGAACCTCTGCTCCTAAGGGAAATAGAGGGCCAGGTTCCTATAAGCCTCTGCTCCAGCCTTTTCAGCAACCAATCAGTACACAATAGAGTTATTTATGTGTTTCTGTTAATATACGTCACTAAACTCCCAGCCAAGAGCACTACAACTCATGCCTGCTCAGAGCCTGTCCAACATAGATATTCTCTCCATAGGACGCATCACCTCAAAAGCAAGTATTGATCTTATTTTATTTCATTTTCAAGAGATGCAGACTGTTCTTAAGCAAGTACTGGTTTTAGGTTTACAAATACATTTTAGCGAGTAGGCAAATTTCCAAGTACAGAATCTGCAAATAATGAGATTCTACTGTATGTGTGTGCAATATTCAAATGAACAGGACAGAGCTTCCTGCCTGATACAAGCCCCTGACTGACTGCCCCACCCACCATCCTATCTAAGAGCCGCAGCCTGGTCCCACCTCCTGCCACCCCTCCTCAGACCAGGGATAAGCCCTGACCAATGTCTACATCCTGCAGCCAGACACAGACAGGCTGACTCAGGTGCTCTTGGAGTTTGAACTGAGAAATGCAGGAGAAGCTTGCAAAATACTGAGAGCCTCCACAGGGGGCTGCTGAAGCCCCAGCAGGCAAAGCTGCCAGCTACAGAGCAAAAAGCTGAGGGAGGGGTAGGGGAGGAAGGACCTGGCTGGAGGTGACTGGGGATGGTCGTGTCCTTGTCAGCAAGCACAGAGCAGAACAGCTGCCCAAGGTGCCACAGCTGGACAGGTGGGTGGGTGGATGGTTGGATGAAAGGGTGGGTGGTGGGTGGATGGGTGGATGAATGGGTGGGTAGGTGGGGGGATGGGTGGATGAGTGGATGATGGGTGGGTAGGTGGATGGGTGGATGGGTAGGTGGATGGATGTGTGGGTGGATAGGTGGGTGGGTGGATGGATGAATGGATGGGCAGATGGATGGATAAGGGTGGGCGGATGGGTGGATGAATGGGTGGGCAGGTAGGTGAATGGGTAGATGAGTGGATGATGGGTGGGTAGGTGGATGGGTGGATGGGTAAATGGATGGTGGATGGATGGATGAATGGATGGATGGGTCGGTGGGTGGATGGATGAATGGATGAGCAGATGGATGGATAAGAGTGGGTGGATGGGCCAGGCGCGGTGGCTCACGCCTGTAATCCCAGCACTTTGGGAGGCTGAGGCGGGTGGATCACGAGGTCAGGAGATCAAGCCCATCCTAGCTAACATGGTGAAACCCCATCTCTACTAAAAATACAAAAAGTTAGCTGGGCGTGGTGGCGGGCGCCTGTAGTCCCAGCTACTCAGGAGGCTGAGGCAGGAGAATGGCGTGAACCTGGGAGGCGGAGCTTGCAGTGAGCCGAGATCGCGCCACTGTACTCCAGCCTGGGCGGCAGAGCGAGACTCCGTCTCAAAAAAAAAAAAAAAAAGAGTGGGTGGATGGGTGGATGAATGGGTGGGTAGGTGGATGGGTAGGTGGATGAATGAGTGGATAGACAGATGGGTGGGTGAATGGATGAATGGATGGGCAGTGGATGGATAAGGGTGGGTGGATGAATAGGTGGGTGGGTAGGTAGGTGAATGGGTGGATGACTGAATGATGGGTGGGCTGGTAGATAGGTGGATGATGGGTGGATGGATGAGTGGATGGATGGGAGGGTGGGTGGACGGATGAACGGACAGGCAGATGGATGGATAAGGGTGGGTGGGTGGATGGGTGGGTAGGTGGGTGAATGGACGGATGAAGTGTAGGTGTGTATGGAAATGGATGGATGAATGGTGTGTATGGGAATGGATGGATGAATGGTGTGTATGGGATGGTGTGTATGGGAATGATGGATGAATGGGTGTATGGGAATGATGGATGAAGTGTGGTGGTGTAAAGTGGAATGGATGGACTAATGGTATGGGAATGATGGAGAAGTGTAGTGTGTATGGGAAATGACGGATGAATGGTGTGTATGGGAAATGGACGGATGAATGGTGTGTAAGTGGGAATGGACGGATGAATGGTGTGTATTATGGGAATGGATGGATGAATGGTGTGTATGGGAATGGATGGATGAATGGGCGGATGGGTACATAGGTGGGCAAGGTGGGTGGACACGGCTGGGCAGGCATGCTTTCACTTACTTCATTCTGTAACAATGTCAGAGATCATCTCAGGGCACCCCAGTAGGATGCAAAATAAAATATCAAAAGAGAAAAAAAGATAAAAAGCATTCTGGGTGCTGAACTGATGAAGGAAATGAACCCATGGCCAGCCTGCTACTCAGGTGGACCCCAGGCGGCCCTTCTGGGCCTGCAAGTGGCCGCCTGCTACATACAAGGCTGTCCTGACTGCACGGCGGCGCCAACATCAGGCTGGGAGGATTTCTCTCAGAACGCCCACGCCTGCCTGCCTGTTTCTAGCAGAACTCAAGCTGCCGGTGCCAAGGTCTGCTCTCCCCACATCCCAATCCCCCAGTAAGAGGTAGAGGCAAGCTCTCCGCAGGCCTGCGGTGGCAGGGCCACTCTTGCACTCTGTGCCAGTGACCAGGCATGTGCGGCTCTGCCTGGGTGTGTCACAGTGCCAGCCTGTACCTGCACGACCCTGTTCTCAGGCACCTGGGCACCCGCAGCTGTGGGCCAGCACGTGCGTACGGGCTCCAAGGAAGGACCAACGCCCAGGAGGGGAGGCTCCAGGCAGGCCATGGCTTCCAGGAAGCAGCTCCGGAAGCCGCAGGCAGTGGCTGCAGGTGGTGTGTTTCTGAGGCCAAATTGGTCCTCCCTTCAACGCCAGGGCCAGGAAGCAAGCTCAGAATAGGGCCAGGATGGAGTCTGGGAGCACTGGAGGTGCAGTGTCGAGAGTGAGCCACTGAAGGAAAAGAGGATGGGGCCTCTGTATGTCTCAGAAAATCAGTGCGCAAGGCGGGATGAACCCTGCTGTCCTGGGCACGGTGGGTTCAAGCCTGATGGAAAGTCCCCTCTCAGTGTCCACACTTCCACCCTCCCAGACCTCTGGCCTCGGCCTCCACTCCACACACACACACTCTTAATCAGGGCCCAAAGCCCTCCTCTGCACTCCCTGCCAATCCAAGGACTTCTCCAACCTCTCTCCAACTAAATCACATACACCCCACCTTTTTTTTTTTGAGACGGAGTCTTGCTGTCGCCCAGGCTGGAGTGCAGTGGCACCATCTCGGCTCACTGCAAGCTCCGCCTCCCAAGTTCATGCCATTCTCCTGCCTCAGCCTCCGCCCACCACCTCGCCCGGCTAATTTTTTGTATTTTTAGTAGAGACGGGGTTTCACCATGTTAGCCAGGATGGTCT